TTAAACGAGGCAAAGCCTGTGTAGATGAGCCTTTAGTCATAAAACACAGCGGTATTTACCGAATGTGAAATTGCACTATTTCCGGGTGTTAAAGTTTATCCTTTCTTGTGTAGAATATTCATGTGCTCTTGCAAGGGTCTGTGGTGTGGGGTGTGCATTGCCGAAGTTATGCATTGTTTACTTTACCGTTGGTAATTGTGAGTATTCTGAGGGTGAAATGAGGCTTACCCTGAGAAAATGAGTCTATAACCAAGGAACAAAATGGTATTTTAAAGAATCCGAGTCAACTACAATGCACTGCTCACCGGAAACAATGCTTTCTGTGGAATGAAAAGGATGAAAACTTTGGAAATTTGAGGACTTTTGCATAGTGAATTTGAAGACATTTTGCATCACCAGGGCATGGAAGATTTTCGTGAACGTTGTTGGCGAACGATGTAAAYAATAACATAGGGGTGCAGTGCATCGTAGTTGACTAGGATTCTTTACGAATTCAAAAATGGTCTTCTACAAGCAAATGCTTTAGTTYTATGCCAACTTAAAAAATGGACATGTACCTCAGTTCATGAAGTACTAGGTCACTTGGTGGATATTGCAGMGCATCGTCTTCAATCTCCTCGATCTCCAGATTGTCTATCGAATCATCCGCGTAGTTTACTTTGTATCTTATACTTCTCTTTGTCACTCTGAAAAATATAAAAATAAAGTTTAAAAAATGGGTAATCTTCGTACGARAAGTTGGAGCATTATTTGTACAAAAAGTTGAATTCTGCTTCGTACGAGTGATTTGCATTGAACCCCACTGTTAATTCCCGTCATCATCATCACCATCAAAAAGATAATCATCATCATCACCATCATAATCACTACCATCACCACCACCACATCACCATCATCGTCATCATCATCATCATCATCACCATAATCATAATCATCATCATCTTCATTTGATTGATACTCACGATTTATGAAGTCTTTTTTCTTTCTGGTTCCTTTGTCTTTTTCGGATACCAATTATAATAAGTACAATAAGTATCAGAAGCACTCCTATACAGACGCCAATGATAATCCACATATAGTTCCGACCAGGCTCCAAGACTAGATTGGACTGAATAACCATCTTACTGCTAGTCACATCACGTGATGCCAAAATCGCGCCACCGGTTGCATTTTCCATTCGAACCCAAATCACTTTCTCCGCTGYCTTTATTTCATCACTGGCAACATAAATTCGGAGAGAGGCATTCCATTGACTTTCTGAGAAACTTATTCGCCCTGAATTGGGCCACACTAGGCCATCAATGGATTCGTTACTGTGTAAAGACCAATAGACGTCGATGTCTCCTGAAGCGCCTTTAGATCGCTTGATGGGAAGGTCGAGCTGTTGGACTCTCGATTGACGTTGAACGCTCACTTCGCCGTTCTCATTATAAACTAAAAATCAAACAATCCATATATCAACATAATTGGCTCCAGATATACRGCTAACAGTCAGGAAAGGTTGGTGAACGTTTTCTTAAATATTGCTTTTGCATCTAACMTGCACGAACTGAAATATGGGCGATGTGAATTGAACAAGCGAAATGTCACAATGATATGAAATTTCCTAAACTTTGTTTACATGTTTCTTCCCAGCCCAATTTCATAATTAGTATATGTAATAGGACTCCATGCCTTAATTGGACGAGGAAAATTCTCAGGACTGGCAAAATTGGATGAGGCCGTAGGCCGAGTCCAATTTGGCAGTCAGAGGAATTTTTCGAGTCTAATTATTCTTGATTGGGGAGCATGAAATCCCATTACCTATTAATTATATAGCTGCCTAATTAATCCCATATCGACAGACCTGTCTAATTAAGAAAATAATTGAACAGTTGCCTATATGGGATTAATGAGAAGCTGTATAATTACATATGAATATAATACATTTGTAATTAATATGCGGACCATCTTATTAAGGTATGACAAAGTTTTTTTTAGAAGAACAAAATTACCTGAAGTGTTCTTGTCGAACATCATCAATCCATTCTCTGCCTCGAACGACCAGAAGAAAGCGAATTGGGTCAAATGACAGATCTGGACAGTAAGAAGTTTGATGGTACGGTTGACGTGCTGCCAAGGTTCTGGGCAAGTCAGAGATGCATCCATCCTAAAACATAAAGTAAGAAGCACAAAATTGAATAAAACAAACAATCGAATGAAAAATCATGCATAAGAGAGGAGAATTATAAGTGACTTAAACTTTTCTTAAGTTAAAGTAGAAATTAGAAAAATAAAAAACGTTTATCATTTTTAATGACAGAAAAACAAAAACGGTATAGAAAAAAGGGGGCAAAAAAATCAAAAAGTTCTGAAGTACAACACTTCAAAGTTGCCGTTGGATGCAATAAATTTAATAAAGAAAAAGGTAAAGAACGAAAGAAAGAAAGAAAGAA